GGGGGGGCCGGGGGGGGGGGGGGCTCCCGGGGCCGCACCTCCCCACACCCTCATGGGCCGCGGCCGCCATGTGCGGGGCGGTGGGGGGGGGACGGGACACCCGCACGGCGGAGGGCGGCTGCGCACGCGCAGTGCGGCTGCGTTTGTCGCAACGGCTCTGCGCGGAGGGATACCTGAGCTGGCGAGGATGTTCTGCGCTCACTGAGGTGGCTGCTTGCCTGGGGCGGGGAGGAGGGAGTGTGTGTGTGTGGGGGGGTGGGGGTTGGCGGAAGGAGACGGAGGAAGTTCCGGTCGAGCTTCATCCGCTGCACGGGTGCGCCGTGCGGTCCCGCTGGCTGGCTCCGCCCGGACTACTTGCCGGGGGGAGTTAGTCCCGGCAGCGACCATTCGGCAATTTGGTTGCCTCTGCCACCGCCATTTCGAGAGCCGCCGCCGCCTCAGCGTACCGGGGCTGTGGGCAGCTCGGTCCTGCGCCGCCCGCTTCAGCGAGCGGGCCTCTCCGCGACCGCGGCCCTTCCGCTGCCTCCACCGGAGCCTCACCGGCCCCCTTTCGCCATGGCGACCTCCGTGGGGAACGTGGCCGACAGCACAGGTACCGCGGCCTCGCCGTGCGGGGACGGGCGCGCCGGGGGCCCGCAGCCCTGCGGGGGCCGGGCCCTGCCCTCGCCCGGGGGCCGCACTTGCGCTTCCCCGGGGCCGCGGCTGACTCGCCCCCGAGCGCGGCGCTCCCCGCTCGCCGGGCCCGCTCCCGGCGGAACTTTCCAGAAGCGGCGGCCTGGGCGAGGCGGTGGCTCCCGCCGCCTTTGTGCTTGTCTCCCCTCGCCTCGGGCCCGGGCTCGGCCCCTCGGCGGGCTCTGCTGGGCCCCGGCCGGCCGCGGGCTGGCGGCTGCTGCGGGAGGAGCGGGGCGCGGCGGGCTGTGGCGCGGTGCTCTCTTATTCTATATTTATCGCGCTGTCAGGTGACTGCGTTTCTGTAGAGGACGATAGAGGGTAAAAACCTGACCCAAACCCTGCGGGGACTGGTCCGGAACCTCTCGCTGTGCTTGAGGAACGGATTTTTCTGCCGCGTAGCCGAGAAGTGCATGGCTTTTGTGGGCAGTAGGGTAGTCGCTAGATTGCTCTAGCCAAGAAAGATCCTGTTCTGCGCTTAATTTACCCGTCCAGAACTTGAGGGATGGGGCAGAGAATCGCAGAAATCTCCCTTTTTCCCTGTAGGGCAAGAAAACGAAGTATTCTGCTCACTGAGACGGTGAAAGGACAGTAAAGCTTTATCCCCTAGATTTTTGGGGGTTTCTGTAAGCAGAGGGAAAGAAGAGTATGAAAAGCTGGAACGATGCCTGGGAAAAAATAGGGGAAAGCAATATGGAGAAAGAGGTGGGATAGCGATGCAGAGATAGGGATGTAAAGGGAAATGGTAGGGATCCAAAGGGGAGATAGAGAGGCTGAGTGCTGCAGTACGGTATTCCACTGCTCCTCACCTAAAACTGCTTGTCCCCGAGGCTGCAGCATCCTCTGGCAGCCTTGATCTGGGGAGTGGAGAGGAACATGTGCTCGCTCGGGGGGAGCCCTGTGCTCCTCCCCACCACCCAGAGGGAGGTGGCAGCTCTTCCTGGCTGGGCCTAGATTTTATTTAAATGTAAGATTGAGCATGAGCATACGGGAAGTGCTTAGATGTATCTCTGGGAGGGGAAAATGGCCTTGAGTATGTCTGTGATAGTTCTGTGTGGATTTTTATTCTCCTTGTATAGAAGTTCCAGGAAAGGTTGTTGTCATAGCACGTGCAGAAAGAGGTGGGATAGCGATGCAGAGATAGGGATGTAAAGGGAAAGGGTAGGGATCCAAAGGGGAGATGGAGAGGCTGGGTGCTGCAGTACGGGATTTCACTGCTTCTCACCTAAAACTGCGTGTCCTCGAGGCTGCAGCATCCTCTGGCAGCCTTGGTCTGGGGAGTGGAGAGGAACATGTGCTCGCTCGGGGGGAGCCCTGTGCTCCTCCCCACCACCCAGAGGGAGGTGGCAGCTCTTCCTGGCTGGGCCTAGATTTTATTTAAATGTAAGATTGAGCATGAGCATACGGGAAGTGCTTAGATGTATCTCTGGGAGGGGAAAATGGCCTTGAGTATGTCTGTGATAGTTCTGTGTGGATTTTTATTCTCCTTGTATAGAAGTTCCAGGAAAGGTTGTTGTCATAGCACGTGCAAGGCTTTTCCAAGGTCATAGAGAAAGCACGTAGCACAAATTACCCTAGGTAAATAAATTCATTTATGCAAGACTTGATAAGGGATTCTTCTGTCTGTGACTCTTCACTGCAGTTATTTTCTTTAGAAATGGATTCAGTGAGCAACTGTTAAAGGTTGTGGTGTGAATTCTTTGCCTTGTAGAACTTCTCTTCCAGCCAACTTTCTATGAAAAGTTTAGCTCGTCTTGAACTTCGTGATACAGCTCTCTGCTTCCTTCTTTTCAATGAACTTCTCAAGAGTCGTGTCCAAAAATACTCCTTTGGAAGTCGATGACTTGGCTGTTTTACGCTGAGCGATTGGTTTGCTTCATCTGTTCCAGGGGGTGGCTGGGTGGGGTGTTTTCTGAAGAGACTTGATAAATGAAAGAAAATTCTAGAGTTTTGGTTATTTTGTTGCTTTTATTAGCGATTCTTGTTCCTGAGTGTTAAAAACAGTATTTCTGCACCACCTTCTGTCTTGCCCTGGATGTTGCAACCTCAGTTTCACTTTTTGCTGAAGTAGGCAAAATGTAGCATTTAGATAAGAGTTGGAAGGTTCTGTCCAGGAGGTCATGAGAATCTAAGTCTAAACTTTTGGATGTTTTGTTTGGGGGAGTTTTGTGTTTGGTTTTTTGGGTTTGTTTTTTCTTTAGCTTTGAAATTTACCACCACTGTGGACATTTATTTGGAAAAGAAATTATGCAGTGAGGTCCATGGGATATGCTCTTCCTCTCTCTCTAGTTTCCCTGTGTTTGTGCCATCAACAGAACTTGAAAATACACTGATTGCCAGAGGGGCTGAACCTCTGTGGCTGCTCAGGGCAGAGGCAGGGAGTGAGGAACAGCGTGTTGGGACTCAGTGTCATCGTGGCTGTCAGCACCCTGGACTTTTATAAATGGTGCTGTCCTTCTCAGGATGAATAGCAGTTGTGTCTGTTTCTTGCCAGTAGGTTTAACCAGATACTGAAGTCCACTTTTCCCTTAGTCAGGGTTTGGAAAGCTGTTAAGCCTGGCTCCTAGAAAGCAGGAATCTAATCCAGATGAAGATACTTGACAATGACTAGTGGAGCATCTAAAAATGAGTAGCTTTGCTAGTTCCAATTTATTGTGAAACAGTTGAAGTTTTTAGCACTGACAGAGACAATATACTGTCTGGAAAAACAACTTTAGTTACATCATCTTATTCTTCAATTTTATCTTGAATCTATTGCTAAAAAAGCAATTTTGAAAATAATTTAAATAATTTGTATTGATCCTAATTTGGTAAAACACTAGATAGTAAATCTGTACCTAATCTCTATGTGTTTATTTTGCTATCTTTGAAGTTCTCACAAAAGAATTAAACAGTCTCAGAGGATTTTTGTAGGATTTTTTGAAAGTGCAAAAATGTGTGTACTTGGATATTGAGGTGCTTCCTTGTATTAGGTTTCATTAAACTACAAATTCTAAAACACTCCAGGCCCAGGTGGGAAGTCTTTCATGAATGGACTTAAATGACTTCAGAGTAGTGGAAATGCTGGACTTCAGGAGGAAAAATAAGAGATACTTGTGGTAATGGAACCTTTAAATAGTAAGAGCCGTTGGTACAAAGGCAGAATTTGAAGGTCAGCACTTCTGTAGGATGAACAGTTGTGACTTTTCCATAGTTTCATCCAGAACTGTGCTTTGTAAGAAATATTATCTACGTTTCACACTTAAGGTTGTTTTTTTCTAAAGGAGGTGGTGTTTTATTTAAGTATTTTGTTTTCCACAATTGTACCTCAAAATACTAAAACTGTTTTGTCGCTCCTGTTCCAGCTGAGCCTCCAGAAGCACTAACTCCTTTCATGTACCCCGTTTGTTTAGTGTTTCCTTCTGTAGTCCAGTTGCATAATCATTGAATTGTGTGTTTGTGTCTCGTCAGATACTGTTTCAAGGCCAATTTTCTTTTCCTATGAAGGCATTTTTACTGATTATAGGGAATGTGGGAGTATAGGGGACTCAAGGAATGTTATGCGTTGCTTTTTTTTCTTATTTTATTTTATTAAGGGCCTTCACTACTGGCACAGCAAAACTTCTTTTGTTCAAGGCCTTCGAAATCTTTCTCTGCTGTCCTTCATTTCCCTATTAAGTTTTTAGCATTTGTTTTTAATTCTACAAAGCATAAGATTTACAGGGTTGGGGAAGAGTAAGGAGACTCGTTGTGTCAGCAGCGCTTCTGCTGTTACGAACCAAAGTTCAATTCCGTGCCAGGAATATAATATAATATATTATACCTGTAAATATATTGCAGGTTAATGGAAAATGATTGACTTACAAATACAGTCATTACTGTCTTCCTCTTTCCTATTATTAGGTGATGAAGTCCTGCGCTTGTTCAGATAATGTTAGAAGTATCATAGTAATAGGTTGGGAGATGAATACCTGAGAGTTCAAACTGCCACTGTAGTGTTTTATGTAATTCCAAACGTATTCATCCTTCAGTTGTGTATGCCTTTTTTTTTTTCACATTGTTTTGTTTTGGTTTTTTGTTGTTTTGTTTTTGTTTTGTTTTTGTTTTGTTCCCATTATCTAACTTTTTGTTTTCCCCCCTTAAATGTTTTGGTGATTCTCCAGAACCAACGAAACGTATGCTTTCCTTCCAAGGGTTAGCGGAGTTGGCTCATCGTGAGTATCAGGCAGGAGACTTTGAAGCAGCAGAGAGACACTGCATGCAGCTTTGGAGACAAGAGCCTGATAACACTGGTGTGCTTTTATTGCTATCCTCCATTCACTTCCAGTGTCGCAGATTGGACAGGTAGGAGACTTGAGGTGTTCTCTCCAGCTTTCTTTATAGCTTCCCTCTCTAATAGCACTGAGCATAGCTGACAGAAGTTTCATTCTAATGTTGATTTCTTTTTCTTAATTACTGAACACAAATACTGACTGACTTCATGGCAGCAGTAATGTCTGGGTGGGAATAATGTTCTTTCTGGATTTTGTTAGGGTCAGAGAAATACAAATTGGAATCTCCAGCATTACAATAAACAACAGATCTTGCCATTATTCTCATGTTGTTATAATATGGCACACGTTAATATTGGAGTGTCTGCCACACTTGAGTGTACTGAAGGTATTTAATGTGTAAACAGAGGCTTTTGTTTATTTATTCCACCTGCAGTGTGAGGGTTTGTGGGTTTGTTTTCTTTTTGTTTTTGTTTTTTAAGTTGCGAGATTGATTGTTTGCTGTGAAATGGCATGATTAGTTATGGATTTTTGACACTGGAAAGTTGTCTCCATATTCTTTCTGCTTGCCTGTTCCTGATCTTCCTTTACGTTCCTTAAGCATTTTGAACTTGTTCTAGATGTAAATGTGCATGTTCTAATGAAGGGAGTAAGAACCTTCGACTGAGATTGATTTTATTAGGCTTCTGAATAAAGTTGTAATAGCAGTTCAGATATAGGAAAGGGAGATGGGGGAGGATACAATGAACTTTTATATCCACATATATCAGCTGTGTCCTCCTCCTTGAAAAGAGTATTGTGTGGAACATTGCTTAAAGCATGCAAATGTTGGAAGTGGCCCCACAGGATTTCTGTAGTGTTTTCTCCACGTGTGCTGAGTTCAGGTTTGGTGAGGCAACCTGAGTCCTACATGGCAGTTGTCTTTCTTCAGTAAAATCTAAAATATGTACAGGGGAGGTGGTAGTTTAAGCTAGAAAAGGGTAAAAATTCAAGACAGCTCTTTAAGTCCAGATTTGTTGGCTGTATATTTGGCTCTGTTAACCATGAATGTTCATGAAGTAACTAGGTGAACAGGCAGACACTGAAAGTCAAGGGTGGAGGTTTTGGGTTGGTGGGGTTGGCTTTGGTTTGGTTTGCTAACTTGTCTAATTTTCTCCAGGTCTGCTCACTTCAGCACTTTGGCTATTAAACAGAATCCACTGTTGGCTGAAGCCTACTCGAATCTGGGCAATGTGTACAAGGAACGTGGACAGCTCCAAGAAGCAATTGAACATTACAGACACGCACTGCGCCTCAAGCCAGATTTCATTGATGGATATATTAATTTGGCTGCTGCACTGGTAGCTGCAGGTGATATGGAAGGAGCAGTACAGGCATATGTATCTGCCCTTCAGTACAACCCTGTAAGTAACGATTTTATAGAAGAACATCATACTTCACTATTGCCCCAGGACACACCAATAGCAGATTTCAAAGAACAAACAAGTGATAACTCCTCCCTCTGACTTGTACACTATAAACTTAACAAGTTACTTAATTATTTTCTTAAGGATCTTTGAAAGTCTTCTGTAACAAAAGTTTTATATCACAGTAAGGGATAGTGGTCATGTGCTTCATGGAATCACGGAATTGTCAGAGTTGGAAGGGACCTCTAGAGATCCTCCAGTCCAACTCCCTGCCAAAGCAGGGCTGCCCAGAGCACATCACTCAGGAGCATCCAGGTGGGGCTTGAAGATCTCCAGAGAAGGGGACTCCACACCCTCCCTGGGCAGCCTCTGCCAGGGCTCTGCCACCCTCACCCCAAACAAGTTCTTCCTCACATCCCAGTGGAACTTCCCATGGTCCAGCTTGTGCCCGTTGCCCCTCGTCCTGTCACTGGGAACCACTGGAAAGAGTCCGGCTCCATCCTCCTCCAACCCACCCTTTAGACACTTGTCAGCATTGATAAGGTCTCCCCTCAGCCTTCTCTTCTCCAGGCTCAAGAGCCCCAGCTCTCTCAGCCTTTCCTCATCAGGGAGATGCTCCAATCCCTCCATCATCTCTGTTGCCCTACGCTGGACTCTCTCCAGCAGTTCCCTGTCCCTCTTGAACTGGGGAGCCCAGC